CGGACTGCTTTAGAGATGCTGTACAAGCCTAAAGAGCCGATAGGGCTGCAGCTGCACTGAGGATGTTGCATCGGTGACCAACAAGTGTGGCATCAATGCATTTCCGATCCTTGACAGGCATGTGGCCCGAAGGAAGTGCTGAAGTGACAAAGAGTTTCCACAGGCTTTGCCTCCGGGACAGGACAAGCGTGCTAGCAGCTAGGATGACACGAAATCGTGTCACACCAACATGCACTGGCAGTATCTCCCGGCCTGGATGTTTTTGAGGATCTCGCTGCACCTTGAGGGGTTGTCCATCAATCTCGCAAGTTTTGTCCCCCTATCTATTTTGGGGAAATTGGCCTGCAGACGGCCTCAATACCCGAACTGCGATCCCAACAAAACGAGCAACGGGGCGAGGTCTTCGCCAGTGATGCTCCGGTAAGCCTGGCCGCGGCAAAAACTCAACATGTTGCATCTGATGCCCACGCATGCATGATTCGCACACTGCCGAAAGTCCCAGTTCCGAGACTTGCAATTAGGGACAGGCGGCACTTTGCCCCAGCATGATGAAGCAGGGCATCATGGCCAAGTCCGCGGGCAGGGAGAGCTCGTTGATGATCACAGCCACGCTGGCCATCCTGAGCACGGCCATGCGAAGCTTCTTGGTTTGGAGAGGTATGAGAGGTTTAGAGTTTTATAAATATATTTGAGAGGTCGAAGCCTGTTTGTCATATCTTCTCCCGGCCTTTGGCATCAAGAGCTTACTGACTGCCGCAAATCAGACGGCATGTGTCCCAAGAAATTCTCGTCCGCACACATACACGGGTCGCAGACCAAACCACCGATCTCCAAGCTGACACCCAGCTATAGGTGCTTCACAGGCGGCGGCAAGCTGAACCGCTGCATCTTAGGAACTCCAGCAGAGTACCTCCATGGCCCAGCATGAAAAGAAAATTTGAGCGCCGTCTATTTTAGTTTCTGATATGCCACTGGCTTCCAACGGTTTGGCAGCGATTTCACGGCCCTAAGAGCACGCCGAAAGATGCATGTTGCCCATTGCCATTGTAGTCTCTTTGCTATCGCTCCTCCGGGATCGAGCCCTCCTAATGCTCAAGTCCTACTGTGCCTTTACCGTAATCACGCCCTGGGGCATCGTGATGCAGAACAGTGTCGCCGGCATAGTACACGGTGGAACCTCGTCTGATCCTTCCTTTGCCCTATGCGATACCACGTGGAAGCAATCTGCATCCTTGGAGCCGGGAACAGTCCTCCCCAGAAGCCCACGCCAGCCTAGGGGTCGATTCGCTTCAATGCACGACCCTCCCCAAAGCAGATTGGGGCCGTGGCCGAAACAATCACCTGTTGGCGAGTCATCTCTCTGGCAGGTTGGATCAAGTGGATGTCCTCATCCGCAAGCGCTTCTCTTGTGCAGCAGCTATGTGGAAAGCTGGCATGTAAAGACACATACACAAATGAGGATTCACACCAGAACGCCACGGATTCCGTCAATTGCTGGTCTTTCCAAGCAAAGGCGCTATGTGTCTTTGGCACCAAGCTCGGACTCCTCAGCTTCCACGAAGCACCCACCGTCTGGAAGGTACCAGGCACAGAAAACATCTCAAGCAACGCTTCGTCTCTCTACATCCTTGCCTTCTTGTCGCAAGCACCGCATCTGGCGCCGGATGCATTGCAGCGACATCTGAACTCCTGATGCTGGTTAGACTGCGAGCAGCAGCAATGGTGCGGCTGTTTCCTATAGAGCTTCAAGCAACAGTGGTTGGTTTTTTGTCCTGCTGGAATACTTCTCTAGGCGCCGGTTGTGCTAAATGTTCTACTCGTGTTTATTGCTGAAGCCTACGTGCTGTTGTCAGAAAGGCTCATATCCGCCTCATGAGCACAAGCCGAAGGTGTCGTGTCCACTCATGCTTACGCAACATGGTCATGATGACCGGGATGAACTACTTGGCATCACATTCTTTCATTGACGATGACCCTGCAAGCGAACTCCAATGACAAGCAGTTTTCCGGCTCACGCTTTCTGCAGCTTGTTCTGTACACTGCAAGAGTTACGGCTGTTGTGACTCCTCTGAGGCACGCATTGCAGGCCCGCTTGCAACCAGAAGACTGGTACAGCTGTCAGAAAGAAGCCAGAATGTGAGGCATCACCTCAAGAATCGAGTGCCCATCCCTGTTTCTACTACCACTATCGCACACCCCGAAGTTTTCCAGGCTCTAAAAGGGCACCAATATCTAGACCCACTCCATGCTAGAGCTGGTCCAGTGGTCTGTACGCGGTGCACATCTGGACTCGCTCCAGTTTCACTGGATGCTGAAGACCTTCTTCATGCCGATGACCAACTCCCAATCCTCTTTGATCATCTCATCCTTGAAGTGTTCTTTCAATGTGTCAATGCTTTCCCGCGAAATCTTCGAATAGAGCTGGCTGGTGTGGTCGAAATGGCGCCCATACATGATGTGGTTCTGTGCAGTCGTCTGTTCTATCTTGACACAAACCGTGTCACCCCTGCGAGCTTTTGGCACTCCTTTCTTGTTGATCTCAATGCCGGCCACGTGTCCAATGACCATGTTGTCTTTATCTGGGACACAGAGCGGTGTGCCCACTCTCAACTGGCCGCCCACAACTTGACAACCCACGATGATGGGATCCTGCTTGCGGAAGATGTGCTGCTTGTCGATCTGCAGCACAACTGGGAACACTGCTACTTTTCGTGTTTCTGTTTTCTGACTTTCGCGGAACTTCTCCATGTACTTCGTGAACTTGTCCTGCAAGTGGTAGATGATGTCGGCGGTGAAAATCGTGACGCCATCTGTGTCCGCTTGCTTCTGGGCATCTGCGTTCACCTTGACATCGAAGGCAAGGATGAGTGCATACTCCGGGTGCCTCTTCTCTTTCATGATCATCGCTTTTTTTACATCCTTCCACACATAGCAGGAAAGCTGCAATGACAGTCAAACGACAAGGGAAAAGGCAGTTTGCAAGCTGCGCCTTCTTGTGCACCTCTCCAATTCCAACGTCAAAGACCGGAATCTTCATGTCCTGCAGGGGCTGGATTTGCATCTAGTTATGATGCTGTCTTTCCTTTCTGGAAAATTCAAGAATCTCCTGTGTAGTAAAATGCTATCCGAATCCTTTGGCTACAAAGACTTTCCACCATATCCATACAGGTTATCCGGCAAGGTCCAAAGAAGAGGCCATAGAGATACCTCGCAAATTCACCGCTCCGATTTGACCCACGTCTTCTCGGAAAAGGGTGCTGGTCCCGTCCGTCACCCCCCCCTTCCTTCCCTTCTTGTGCTCGCAGCTTCACATGGGTCGTGTCAAGATTTTCCTCCCGGATCTGCTTGGGAGGAGCGGACGACAACTAGTTGTTCTCTTCGTCAACGGTCGCGTGGCCGCGGCGTCAGAAACAGGGAAAATCTACTGTCAGCCTGCAAAATCCCGAATCGAATCGCAACTGCATTGCAGCTTCTTCGGCAATGCACGAGCAGGCTCGATGCATCTGTAATCATCGGGGCTGTCAGATTTCGTGTATCCCGAGCAGTAGTGCTGCTGTAGTGTTGTGCTTCTGGTACGCCTGGCACCGGTTTAGCCATGGTCGAAAACACGATCGCACCCCCCCCCCCCCACCCCGCTGTGGTTGCAAACGCTGGACTCGAATTTGATCTTGGCAGCTCGCGCTCGGGCTCTCGACCGTCGCAGGGTTGCAAACTCGGTCCGCGATCTGGTTCAAGCTTCGTCATCCTGGGGTCTGGTGGATTTCGTGCGGGGTCGGTGGAAGCGGCGTCAGCCCACAGATTTCGACTCGCACACTCGCACAAAGGCAGGCACGGATTCATGAGGTCGGGATTGCGAAGATTTAGTTTCCCTGAGGCGCGATGGTGTTTCCTTTCCAGACCCTTTCCACGTCCTGAAGGAAGGAGAGCAGTGCCTCCAACGACCCCAGCGTGCTGGCCTGCAACAGGAATCTGCTATGACGCTGCCGCGTGACTGGTGACTTGTGCATTTCTTTCCCGGCAACAACAAGCGACATTTGTGCCCTTGTCTGCTGAAAACACCAACCAGATCCACGCAACCGGCCTTCACGTAAACTCCTGCCGGCTCCTTGGCAAAGTCGTTGAGGATGCTCTCCTCAGTTGAGCGGCGAAGGCGCAGGCAGCAAAGCCGAAGCCAAAGTGCAACCGAGAAGCAAAGCCTTCGCTCGCTTCGTCCTTCAAGTCTTCGAGATCATCGTCAGGCCCACAAACCTCAGCCAAGACCATGACCCACCTTGACCATGGAGCTTGGGGTGTACGCAATCCTGTGCGGCTGGACAGCCGCTGACTGTGGCAATTGAAAGCACAAGCCCACGAAAACTTGGAGAAGATCGTTTGGACTGCAAGCTTGCCACATCCCACACCAGCAGACACACCAAGCCACGAGGAGCTGCGTGCCCGCCACAGCCTCTTCGAGGCCTGGTGCCGAGATCTTCACCTCAGCTCCGATTTGCAGAAAGCTTCAAGTTAGCTCATGGGTGCTGGGTGCACATGCTCCAGGTCCAGGCCACGCCCATGGAGGTGCTGATCGCCGCATGTTTGACGTACTCGTTCCTTGTTGTCAGCTGCGGCTGCGTGAATGAGTGGCAACGTGACGGAGCTCTGGCGAGAGAGGAGAGACAGACAGAGAGAGAGAGAGAGAGAGAGAGAGAGAGAGAGAGAGAGTGCGTTTGCGTGAGTCTACGACTCTACAAGAGCATGTAGACCAAAGCAAGCAGAGCACAATGAATTACAAGCATAGAAGAACCGGCCAAGATGCTTAACGCGCATCTCCTTCATTGGCTGAGGTGTCAGCAAAGCCCTGATGGTTGTAACAATTGGACCACCCAAACCAGCCAGAACGATTGTGTCACCTTCACGAAGGGTGCCATTGAGAAGCACCACATCGATGGTGGTCCCAAGGCCTTCGATGTTTTTGACTTCGATCACTGTACACTCCAGCTCCTCCCTGCACTCCAGCTTGGCGCCCATCAGGTCTTGAGTGAGCTTCAGGATCATGTACAACAAATCCGGCACACCCTCACCGGTAAGCGCGCTGGTTGGAACAATGGAGACAGAAGTACGCGGATCATCGTTCTCCCAATACCTAGGAACCACCAGAAAGAAAACACACGCAAACACACGGGAGTGCTCGAAATCATTCACTGCCTCCCTGCTCCACTGCAACCCGGAAGCAGGCTGCAGTTCAGCCCCCGCTCGTTCAGCTGCAGCATGACGTTGTTGTACCGGGTCTGGAACTCCATTCGCACAGACTGCTCTTGTCGGTTCAATGCCTCTTGGGCACTAGTATACGACTTTGCGTTCCACTGGTAGAGGATGTCGATCTTGTTCATCGCAATGATGAACGGACAACGACGCTTTTTCAGCAGCTCCAACGATTCCACCTTGTCTTCATGTCAAGTCAGTCCCTGCCCCTTATCTGGATATACACTCCACGGTCAACTGCAAGAGAACGCCGAAACAAACCTCCTTCCTAATTTCGACTTCCACTTAGCCAGGTCGCCGTTTGAGGCTCGAGCCCGTGCCTGAGCGAGGACTTCCCTTAACAATCGATCGCATGGTGGTTTAAGATTAATCTTTCCGCCGCCGAAGGCCCGGACAGCCCGGAGGCCTCCGGCCAGTGACAGCAAAGGTACATGATGTCAATGACAAGGATTGCCAGATCGGCCAAAGAGGATCCGCGCATCCGGAGATTGTTGAAGGATTCCTCAGCTCAGACATCAGGACACAAACCCTCCTGGTGGGCTGGAGCCGAGCCGGCACCTGGAGAAAACATTTCGGGCACTCTCTCCTGCCTGTCTGCCTCTGTTTGTTTCCTTGCTGACGATAGAAGTCAGTAGAAGCGTTCTCTCCCCGTTTCAAAGGCTGATCCGAAATTATCACGGCCGTCAGCCTCGAGAGTCCACTGTCCCAACAGGCTACGTGACACATGAGCAAAATCGACCGTCCTCGCGAGCGTCTGTTGCGTCACGAAACAGGCAGAATGACTACTTCGAGCAGGGCTTCAATAACGCGAAAGTGCGAAACTGCTGGCTCTCTGCAATGAGTGAAGTAGCATCAACGAACAATTTTCGCCACAGCCAAACAACACCCGTGGTATGCATCCGTGCACTGGTCTCCACCGCCTGAAACACCTCCAGCTTGAGGAACAGGACGGCGCCTCTCTCTCTCTGTCGACCACACAATCAAGCCCGTCTTCTCTCGTGCCCGCTTTCTCTTTCTCTTTGCTTCGCTAGGCTTTCTCTCTCTTCTGCACCACAGACAACAGATTGAAATTAGAACGAACACGCACCGAACTAGAATCCCCACACCCGCCTACAACCTGTGCTAAACATACCGAGAAGTGATAAATTGCAATAGACCCCTCCAGCGTGCAACTGTATACACTTCCCCCTCGGTGTTCAGCCACACAAGTTGCAAACTGGCTCCCTCTCTCTTTCTCTCTCTCTATGTCCTCTCTTGTTGGCTTCCGGTGTAGCGCAAGGTCGCCCCTACCTTCTCTTCGGACGGGACCAAGTCGTCCAGCGTACCGTGCCAAGGTCGCCATGAAACAGGGCAGCACTTCACGCTCACTTTACACATTTAACCCGCACCTGAACACCTATCCCTCGACTCCAACACTGACACAGTGCCTTTGCTTACCTGCTTGACGGAAGCCTCTCAGACGAACCACGCATCATTCTGTCATCTCTCTCTCCGTCTCTCTTCTCCCCTCCTACCTGCCGCAGACCAATCACAAGCAACACAGGGAGTCTAGGAACAGTATCCTAGCTACACTGTCGAATACCAAATACACTTACACACATCCCGCCAAGTGCACACCAGGCATCGTGACCAGGCGTATCAATGATAAGCAGGCCAGGGACCTTGGAAAGTTGCATGCCTTCAGCCAACCCATTCCTGCTTTGAGTGTTGAACCCGCCCAGAAAAGAAAAGTAGATCCAGACGGAACATCTGCTCAGCTGTCGCGTTTACTAGCAGCTTCATCTTGAACTTAAGTCTCGAGATCCAACAAAGCACAGCCCACGTGGCATGTTAAAATCCTTTAAAAGAACAGATTTTTGGCATCTTTAACCTCTTTGCGAAGCCCCGTCTGCTTCCGGTGCCGTTGAGCTGCCTCCAGCTCGAAGTCCTCGTCAACCTTCTTCGTCTGCTCTTGTAGTGCAATGTCAGGGAAAAACGTTGCTCCGATCTGCTGGGTGATACCACCAGCTTCACCTGGGTCGTCTGCATTGCAAGACATCATCGGCTCGAAGCTGCATGAATCACAGCTGCACATGTGACCGATCACGCTGTGGGAAGTCTTCAAGCCTACTCGGCTCCGGATTTGCAGCCCAGCCTTCTTGCACGTTGGTTCTACGGATCTTGTCCAGAAGCTTGGTTTTTCCTGTATCGACATGCCTTAGCTGTTCATGCGCTCCGAAAAATGAGAAGGCTGCGCTCTATGCAGCATGCAGCAGGCAGCTCATGTTTGCATCCAGGCACCCCATGATGCAGATCACCGGCGAACGGTATCCCATAAACGAAGAGGAAGAAGAGCTGCTGGAACTGCTGCTTTCGTCCCCGCTTTCCTCATCGGACGCCTCTTGCTCCTTGGCAGCTTCCTCCTTTTCTTCCTCCTGTTCGTCAAGCTTCTCCCAGCCATCGCTCTCCTCCTCTTCCTCCTTCTCAATCGGCTTCTCCTCCTTCTTTTCCGCCTTTTTCTCCTTCTCCTCTTGCTTCTCCTCCCTCTCCTCTGGCGGCTCCTCCTTGACCTTTTCGGGTGATGCCTCCTCCCCGGGCGCGGGCTTCTTCTTCTTCAACTTGGTGGCCATCGGCCGCTTCTGCTTGTCTTCCTCAGCCTTCTCGGCCTCCTCCTCCTCGTCCTTATCCATGGTGAAGCCAAACTGCTCGCGCAGTTGAGCCGCTCGTTGCTGCTTGAGTTTCTGCGCTTTTGTCAAGTAAGTGCCCTCCGCCTTCTGCTTCGCGATCTTTGCGGCCTTGGCATCTCGGCGCTTCTGCCGCTCTTCTTCCAAGCGCCTCTCCTCCTCTTCGATTGCTCGCTGCTCCTCCTCGATCCGCTTCCGCTCGGCCTCCTCGAAGGCCCTTTTCTCCTCTGCTAATTTCTGCTCCAGCTCCAGGCGCTCACGGGCTGCCCGGACGATGGCGCTCTCCTTCTTCGGTGCGGCTTTGGCCTTCTCCTTTTTGCTGCTGCTTGCTGCGGCTGCTGGCTCCTCTTTGGGGGCCTCCTTGGTCTCTGACTCCTCTTGGGGCTCTGACGACCCCCAAAAGCCTTCTCCTCCTGTCTTCTGCTTTGCCTTGGCTTTTGCCTTCTTTTCCTTCTTCTTTCGATTGGCAAGGGTCTTGGCATCAATCTCTTCGTCCTTCTCATCCTTGTCATCTTGCTCATCCTGTGCAGCTTCTGGAGCTGGCTTCTCTGGGATAGCTTCTGGCACATCCTCTTTGAACTCCGCCAAGACATCGTCCATGTCTTCGTCATCGTCTTTGCCCTTTCCTTAGCCACGGAAACCACTCAAAACACGTCCACGTGTGCATGAAACAACAGAGCAAGAAATAGTTTCGGCGGAGCTCTGGACTGAAAAACGGACACTTGGATCGATTAGGACAATGGCCGGAATGCCAACAACTTTCCATCTATGCCATGTCAGCAAAGTGTCCCTTCTTCTTCTTCTTGTTGCCACCCTTCTTGTCATCTTTGCTGGCTGACGCTTTCGCAGCTGCTGCCTTTGCTGCTTCCTCCTGCTTCCTGAGTTCCTCTCGCTCCCGTTCCTTAAGAGCCTCCACGGCCTCTTCATAAGAGGGTGCTGGCTGACCAACTTCCGCAGAATCTGCAAGCATGACAGCCAAGCCAGCATCCAGCACATCAGTGTCCCATCCCATTTCTTTAGGTCCGCAGAACATACCGGCGCTTTCAACACCACCCACTGTTGAAACTTTGACATCGACCCCATTAGCTGTCGTGTATCCCGGTGGTGCTGCAATGAACTTCTTGTTGGCAGCAACATTCGGGGCGCTCGTGACAATGTCAACTGGGTCAACACCGGCCATCACCACCACTTTGCAGAGCTTGAGCTTGTCTTTCTTGGGAATAGGAGAGACCTCTACGATTTCACAGACGGTCGGGCTTTTCTTTTTCTTCTCTTTCTTCTCTTTCTTTTCCTTCTTCTCCTTCTTCTCGTCCTTGGCATCTTTGTCCTCCTTGTCAGCAGTCTTCTTTTTCTTCTTCTTCTCGCCAAACATAGCAATCTCATCATCAACGGGGTCATCCTTTTTCTTCTTCTTTTCCGGCGACGAGTCCGCCTTGTCCTCTTTTGCAGCCTTTTCAACCTTGTCGACCTTCTCCGCCCTGTCCCCTGACGGCTTGTCAGCCTTCTCTGCCTTGTCAGCCTTCTCCGGTTTCTTCGGAGGTGGAGGTGGCTTCTCTTCCTCCTCCTCCTCCTCTTCCTCCTCGTCCGAGTCCTCCTCGTCCGAGTCCATCATCAAAGCGAAAAGATTCTTCTTCTTGGGAGCTGCCGCAGCCTCACTGCTACCTGACTCGCTCCCCTCTGGCTCATCATCAGAGGATGGTGGCGTCTCCGCCTTCTTCTTCTTATTCGCAGGCATCTCGCCGCGAGGGCTGGTACAAATGCCTTAAAGGCAGTCCTGTTCTTTGGGAGATGAGTCAGGGTTGCAACGATGTCTCGCCCTTTCGGACGAGCAACGACCAGGCCGCGTTAACACCAAATTTCAAGACTACAGGGTGAGTGACTATCAGTGTCCTGTCAGTTTCTTCACTGTACTGTTGGCGATCGTCTGTCGGAGTGCTGCGAAAGCTTATATAAGGGGGGTATAAGCTTGGTTGAATGATTGGGGACTGGAGTGCTTAACTTCACTGCTGCCTGCATTGGCACACCTGCTTGGGCAGAGATTGCGCAACGAATATGGCACGGCCTCTGCACATGCACCTGAAGCACCCGAGAAACTTGCTCATACCATCAGGCCCATGGCCTCTGCTGACTCGGATCGACTGAAGCAAACGACCACTTTGTGCGATTTTTTGTCTTGGGTTCCCAATTCCGGACGTCTTAGACGCCTCTCATAGATCTTGGTCTTAGCATCACAGAGATTCATGCAAGTCTTGTGCTGCACCTGTCTGCACGGATTCGCGGCGCTCAGGAGTTCGGCATAGCAGGATAGCGAAACCTTCCAACGCTTTCGAGTCCTGACCAAGGCAAGGGTGTGGAATGAAAAAGAATTACAGCACGAGGTGGACCCAATGCTGGGATGGTGCCGCATGCCTCATTCCTAGACTCGGCATGCCCCTGTACCGACGAACCTTGGCTTACGGTTTACTACACTCCGGGTAGCGCGCTATGATCTTGGCAGGGCCTACCTGCAAGTTTGCCTGTCTGCCTCTCTGTCCGATCTCTCTCCGTCCGCTTTCTATGACGAGAATAGGCCGAAGGCTCCGAAGGCTCTCCCACAGCTCCCCCCCGCAGCCCTCAGCTAGCACAACAAGCCAAAGACAACTTGCAAACTGGAACATTCTGCCTCTCTATCCGGTCTCTCCGTCATTCTGTCATCATTCTAATCCCCCCTCCAGGCAAGCACCACTCGCTTATGCCCCAGGGGAGAGACATCGTTTGCTTCGGCTCAGCCCCAGGCCTGACACTTCACCACCCATGCTCACTATCTCCCTTTGAAAAGGACATAGTAAGAAACTCTCACTGCACGTTTGCGGTCGGGAAATCAACCGTGCATCGGCGAGTACCGCTCTGCCAAACGAACACAGGCCAGTCCATCACTCAGCTGAAGCACGGACCACTTGCCAAAAAGCAGACCCTCCACTGCACTGCAGTCAAGCTCAACTCCCGCCTGAGGCTCTAAGAGGACGAACTGTGGCTGCTCGTCTCGCTCCCTGGTGAGACCCTCTTCTGGCGCACTTCCTCGAAGGCCAGCACGCGCGTAAAGCACTCCGGCACTGAATTAATGCTTACGCCAGTCTTGTGCACTCTCTGCCTCAACGCCGTCTGCCTCAGGAAAGCCCACCTCGTTCGGCAATTCTTCATCGAATTCCACCTGCGTGAAAGGGGTCCCGAAGCACTGCTCAAAATTCAATGCTCTCGAATCTTTGGTTTACCTTCCATAACTACTTTATTGTCGTATCGTAAAGTTGGCGATCGCAACACATGGCCTGAGCATTATGGGGAGGAGAAGCACTGCTTGAATCACCCTGCATGGGTTCGCTTTGGGCAGCCGAGTTCTCGGGCATCAAACGAACCGCTTCATTGTCCTCAAGGATTCCAGAATCCACGATTTGATCATGCTGGCCATCCGCTGCAGCTGTCGGGAAGATCTCGTCTTGCGGTTCGCATGCAGGAACCAGCAACTCCCATTTTGAAGCATCGTGAGCGAGCTTGCCGTAAACGAACACCCTCACCTGAATGGATAGCCACGACCGACTCTCTAGCACAAAAGCTCCTCAACAGATCCATGTGTACGCACAGCAAATTTGTGGACGATGTGAACCTCACAGCCGGGCCTAGGCGGATCTAATGGCCAATGCAGCCTGCATCTGATCATTTGTCAAATTTGCCATTCTGGCACGTACTGAACAAACCCCAGGAACTGATAAGAATGAAACAGCTTCAGGGTGCAAACGCTCTACTAAATATTGAACTTCACATCCTGACTTCAGACCTGCAGCTTGCCCTCGAACCGATTTCTGAAAGAAGCTGCCACCCAAGGCTGCACTGCAAAGCTGAGCAAAACTTTGTAAGACAGGAGCCTCGGACAGGAGGGTTCTTTGCTACAGTGACGACATTCAGAACCAACCTGGCCAAGTGACGGCATGGCTGATGCGGCTTTTGTCCCGCCGCGGGTCAGGATCAGCCTCCTCTGGTAGCGAGGCAGATGCTGGTGCAGATTCGTCAGCCGCACACTCGACCTGCATCGGGCGGCTATTTTTCTGCTGCTGCTGCCTGCTGCAGCTACTGACTACTGCGAATTCTGCTACCGCTGCCACTACCACTACCAAAGCCACTACAACTACGACGACGCGACGACGACGACGACGGCGGCTGCTGCTGCTACTGCTACAGCTACAGCTACTGCTACCGCTACTACTGCTGCTACTGCTACTACTGCTCCTCCTCCTACTACTACTTTTTGGAGCAATGGACTTGGTGAATGCCAGCAGACATGAACTACTACTAATGCTACTGTTACCAGAAACAGTACCACCACACTGCTGTCCGTTTCATCCAAGAAACCGTGGATGGTACTTTCGCCAGCTCCGGGCTCGTTTTAGCATCGACATCGGCCAACAGATCATCGAAAAGAGCAGCAGCTGTTGCGAGGTCCTTTTGCAGAACATCGTCTGAAGTAACCTGAAAGTGCACGACTTCAACACACCAACTTGAAGGTGCAACAGCAATCGAAATTCGACTGTGGCGGCAACCGTTCGGAATCCAGATACCGGGAAGATGCCCTCCGCCCCCAAATATTCACCAGACTTGTCATCAGGATTTTCGATTGGAGGCTTCTTTGGTACTGATGTCGTCCGACTTGAAGCAACGTCCTCCGCTGAGCTGGGCCTTGTTCTTTCGGTCTGGTCGCCCTGGAAGGCACGGAAATACAGTCACTGCTTACTGCAACTTGCACGAGCCCACAGTGGCTCATGCATTTTTACCTGCCTGCGCCAACGCATCCGCACATCGCGGCCAAGGCATCAGGGACGGCTCTGGAATGTTTTCAACCAGCGGTTCCCAATCCCATGCACTGAGGGTGTCATTGCTGCGACCATCGGCCTTGTAGCCCTGGACAAAGGGTCGCCGCGCTGCTGGGGCCTTGCTGCAAGGCGGATGTGGGACAAATGGCTGCGAGCCTCTGGCACTGCTTGGTCGACTCCGGGCGCGAGGTGACACAGACGGTGTAGCTGACGGTGATTTGAACTCGATCTTCTGGCGCAGCAGTTCGCGCTCGACGTTTCGGATACCTAAGCTCAACAAGAGGGATCAAAGCGTCTGAGAGTCGGTCCCCGATCATGCGCTACGCTGCACACCAGCGACAATGACAAATTGAATTCGAGGCTCGTTCCAAGCGCGTGGCCTGCTTGCATGAAATTTCACGCGTTTCCCGCAGCTTTGCCCTTCCAACACCCTTTTCTTGGAGAAGCTTGCGACGCTTCTGCTCTGCCTCAAGCTGCCTGAGCCCAGGAGTCATCATGATTGTAGAGCAAACCCTACGCACATTTCAAATCTATACAGCTTTCGCACATCGCTCACTTGCACTACAACTTCTCGTTCGTACTGCCTCTTTGACTCCTGCTCGATGCGCTGGCTCCTCAGTGTCTCTTGTTCTTGGAATATTTTGCGCCGGTTCGTCTGAAGAACAGCCTGTCTCACTGCAGAAGCATTCACCATCAGGTCTGAGATTTCTTGCTTGGCGCCTTTGCTCCTGGCAACACGTTCTTCATGATCTTTGGTGCGCTGTTGCCAGTGCGATTGCTGTCGATCCTCGTGCTCTTGCTTCCTCTGCGCATAACTTGCTCGCACGGCCTCAATGCGCCCGTTCCGTGATCGAGCTCTTTCTTGGACTTCTTTGTGATGCTGCTCCTTGATATAGAGAGCAAAGGAGAGTTTGGTTTCCCAACGTCGAAGGTCTCCAATGTCTTCCGGCACCTCATTCTTCCGAACACGGGCAGACTGAGCTCTAGCGCGCGATTTCTGCCTGCAGGAACCATCGGCCGCCCCGGCTTCAGGGGACAAGCTGGCTTCAGCACAAGGATTTCTGTCGATGTGCCGTGGCGTTGCTCGATCCCCCCAGGGGTCAATCTGGTTCGGCGAGTTGCTCGCTCCCAGTTCCGTTTCCCAAACTATTTGTCCCAGCAGTTGCAGTGCATAGCGCTTTCGCGGCGACTTCCCTGGCGTATTTGCCGGGTCGACGCCAGCAGCAGCTGCTAGCACCTCTGCCTTTTCAAGGCCTTGGCGCCACAGTGCTCTTGCACAGCATGGCTGGGAAAGATAAGATTCCAAATTGTCGGGTTGGTCCCGCAACAATGCCGCCGCTTTTGCGACACATGTCGGGGGCAGTTCCAGGATGGAGGTGGTGGCAATGATCGAACTGTGCGGCCGACACGAAGGAGACATGCTTTCGCCTTGGCCGCTCGAAAGTTGAGTGAACTCGAGGTACAAAAAGGTGTCAATACAAAACCTGGTAAACACGCGAGTAAGGCCTCCAAACAATCGCGTAAACCACACGTCATTCATGCGCTCGAGTGGGCGCCACCCGCATCACCACCACCGAGTCAGACGCCTGCGCTGCAATCCAAACGAGACTCTTATAGCGGCCACGCACTTTCTGAACATTTGCAGGAGCCTCGGTGCAGATGCGGGCACATGCGGCATCGCATGTGCTGATTCAGCTGAGCCGGAAATGCGATTGTCGAGCGCACATAGTCGCAAACAAGAACTGCCAAGTGGCAACACTCAGGGGAACAAGGCAGAAGCATACAGTAGCACTTCGACGACAAAACTGGAACTGCAATCGCAGCGTTACGATCAGTGCACAAAGACATTACCGTACTTTCGGGCAGCCGTGCTGTACTACTTCATATTTCTGCATCTGGTCGTCGTGGGATGGTGGCCACTAGATCACTAGTCTGAAACCCCGTCCTCTTGGCCGACAGTTCTGAGAACGGTGAGGCAAAGAGAGTGGTACAGAGTGTCGTTTAAGCGCTGACATTCGTACGCTTTGTGCTGGCGGTGCCCTCGGCGCAACACTGCTTGTCGTCCAAGGACTTGCTGACAGGACGGCAGGTGAGCACGACCCGGCGAATCAAGCGAGGGATTTGACGGTGCTTGAGGTTCGTACCTGATTGACTGTTATGCGGTTGGGGTCTCCCTTTTCAACATCTGCTGGTGGAGTAGGTGGTCAGACATCAGGCTTGTACGGACCGTTGAGTTTGACTTTCTTGTCGAAGCAAAGAAACAGACGTTGTTTATGCCTCTTGTGGCGCCGGTCAGGGGAGTCCAGTGGGCAGAGATAGCGAAACAGGGGATGGATTTCTCTAAGGGCCCGGTAGGCCCGCTTCTGCCGGCGACTAGCAAAGGCGACTGGCTCCGTAGGACTGTGGACTGAGCCGAAGCATCAACCTGGCTGACAGAGACTCTTATGAGAAGAGACCCCTCCACAATCAAGGTTACCACTGCTACCACACATTCCCTGAAGCATACTTGGCTTGACTTGCATGTCGAAGTATGCTCAGAAGCTGGTCTGAGATCACTCGACAGGTCAGCACACTAGCGCACTCCAGGGACGCTCTCAGTGGTCCCCTGCGGCAGTTTGAGGAAACGTTGAAGCAGGTGCCCGAAGGAAGTTTCAGCCTGGACGCCAGCCGCAGTGAGTATTTCCACGGGCGACGGTACTACCCATACCCGGATCTTGGGCTTTTCGTGCAAATCATCAAGAGCATTTTCGCGACCCCAAACTCGGAACCAGGCTTCTCCAGAACAAGAGGGCTCTCCTGGTGCTGTCCCAGTTCAGGCCGATGACGTCTCCTCCAGACAAGGTGAACCCACGGATAGAGAATGGGACGAGGAGATACTTCAGCGACTAAGCCCAGAAGTCGACAAAAAGTAGAACAAGTGTCCGTTCGGGACTCCGGAGTTGTCATGGGAGAGTTCTTCTGATTCGGAGTCAAATTGTTCGTCTCGGGCAGGTGTCCCAGTTGCCAAGGCCGTGCAGCTGCCGGAAGGGTGGAAGGCCATCCAGAATGACAGGTCCACCATGCTGCGCATGTACCAGCTTGGCCGGTTAGCTTTCGAGTGTGGAACGTGGATCAGCTCCAACTTTTCAGAGATGGATAATCCCACGACAGTTCGAGTGCGGTGCAGCAAGTGTTTGCTAGTTAAAAGGTCCGAGGACTTTCGCGCATGTAACGATTGGTCAAGACACTCACTGTTGTTTTTGCCAGCTGGCTGACACGCCGCCCCGCGACCCTTTTTCGGAATCTTTTCGTTCCTCCTGCTTCGATATTTTTCTGTCTGGCGTGCGTTTTCCTCGGGTTTTTGGAACATTTATTCTCTTATGTTTTGTTCGTTCTTGCTCTTTTGCTCATTTTTGCTTGCGCAAGTTTTTTGCTTTTCTCGGGTCAAAAACTCGAGTTTTTGCTGTTTTGGAGCACATTTTATGCTGGAAAAGCCGTTTTGACTGCATTTTTACAGGTGATTCACCGTTTTTTTCTTAGTGTTTCCATGCCAGAAAGCATCCATGTGGCAACCATGTTAACGTCCGCAAAGAGTCCGTCCGTTTTTGCAGAGCATCCATGTGGCAACCATGTTAACGTCCACAAAGACTCCGTTCGTTTTTGCAGTGGCAACCATGTTAACGTCCACAAAGACTCCGTCCGCTTTTGCAGAGCATCCATGTGGCAAACATGTTAACGTCCACAAAGAGTCCGTCCGTTTTAGCAGAGCACCCAGGTGGCAACAGAAAGCCTCGTCCGTTTTTGCAGAGCTTCCATGTGGCATCCGGTTTTTGCAAAGCTTTCATGTGGCAACCATCATAACGTCCAGAAAGACTCCGTCCGATTTTGCAGAGCATCCATGTGCCATGATAACGACGCTAACCCAAGAAACAAAGCTTCGCCAATCCCTTGACGTGCAGCTGGGCGTATGCTTGTCAGTAGCGCCACAGCTTGTGCCTCAAGAATTCCGTTGAGGAGGCGTTGCCTTGTGCGCTCTGGCGCTAGTGTGCAGCCGAACTGGGGTTCGTTTGTGCGCAGTCTGAAAAGACTCCTCCTTACATGTTTGACATAGGGTCATGTTTTTTTGCCTAATTTCCCTTACCTGCCTAAAATGGCCCTTAGAAGCCAGAATGCCGTAAATTACAATACTTTCTTGTTTTCGGAATGTGACAAAACGCAGGGCGGCAGGTCAGTCAGCTACCTTGTTTTTTGTTCAATCACCTTTCTTCGAGCAGCATGCTTCGAAGATTGGCATGGAGAGGGCCTTGCTAGCAGGAGGCACCCGCACGATCTTTCAGGCGGCCTATGCGGCCACGCCTCCACGACAACTGTTGTCTGACGACAGAGTAACTAGTCTTTGTGCATGCGTGGGAGACGCACGTCAGTCGCTGAATCAATTGACAATGGTAAAGAGACTGCTGGTTGAATCGCAAACGATGAGCCTGGCCCACCTGAAAGCCAACATCGAACAACAGGCCGATTGCAAGCTGCCAGGTCTTGAAAAAGCGCAGAGACTAGAACTTCAGGTTGCGAGGCTGGGAGGATTTGAAGTCAAGAACGACTTGGAACCTGCATTTTGTGTGTACGACGGTGACCACTCAAGTGAAACAGGGATCCCTCACGTACATCCACCCTAGCAAGGTGCCGACCCACCATCAGGAGTTGTCCCAAGCGAGACAGCCCGGGAGTTGAGCCTGGATGCCACTTGCAAACTAGGACCAAGCGTCCAAGGTGCAGGCACAGTTGGCTCGGACATGGCAACATACCCGGGTTACCCAGCGCTACAACAGCTAAGCTTGTTCGGGATCCTAGCTTTCCGAGTCCATGAGCGATGGTTGCAGAAAGCCTTGGCACACACGAGCACCCCAGCGCTCTCAGGATACAATCGGCCCAACATTCAGCAGGATTTCAGAGCGGATAGGGCATTTTGGCTGGACCTGGCCGACACACAGCCCGGACTTACCAGGTCGACGGCTAATGCACCGATCGCAGAAGCTTCGTACAGTTCATGAATACCATGGCTGCGAGCTAGCACCTCACGGTACGCCCACGGCACAGCCAGACCACCAACCGGACAAAGGCGGCAAAGGGTCGTTCCACAACAAGTTCAAGAGGTGGGGGGTGGCAGAGGTTTTACCTCTGACAAGTGGCAGCGGGCAGACAAAGGCAAGCGCTAATGTCAAACGCAACATGCATGCCGTACACATGATGTCGCTGCGTCGAAATTTTTTTTTTCCTCGTAGTCGGCCCACAGTCTCGGCTCTGGGGCCTAGCCTACCGCTAACGGATCGGCAGGCCTAAAGGCTCAGGAAGGTCTCTGGACAAAAACGGCAATGGAATCAGACAATGCTGACCACCAGAGCCAACAGACAGACCTTTCCTGTTATGGTCCCCGACAAAAAACGAAGTGGTTACTGCGATCTGTTGTGGAACGAAACTGTTGGAAAGATGCCGTTTCGTTTTCCGAACCAGCTCGTATTAGGGATTGCCGCGAAAAGGTGTTCGTGCTGTATGCTCAGAACTAAACACGATACAAGCTTGTTACGATTTTCTGATGATGCGGCTGGTACGGACTCCGACACGAGCCATAGCACATTCTCAGCTGAAGTTCGTAGCATAACGTACTATGGTTCGTACCATGGTTCGTATCATGCCAAATGTTCGTCTCGAACTCGTATCATGCAGCCCCTTTGGTTCGTATTGTATTGCACGTACGTTGTCTGGCGAGGCAATGCATGATACGAACTAGTTTGCCGAAACGAAGCTGAATCGTTTCAACTGTTTTTGTTTGCTGGTTTCTTCCATCACGGTTATATACGTGGTAGAGACATCCGCCATTCATGTATTGTTTTGTGCATGTGCCTTGTATAACTTTTTTTTGTTTGTCCGCGCCTTTTTCCTGCTGCCGTTGGCGTCCGTGGCCTTAACACAGGCTGCCTAAGTACTAACGCCTACGGGCTGCTACGGCCGGAGCGGCAGTCGGCTCGGCCCCGCTGCTTCGGCGAGGTCGAGCACACGGTCGAGCTCCGGGCCCGGAAGCTGGCGTGCGGGCCACGGGCTTCCGAGCGCCG